CGTATGAGGGGTGTGCCGAAATGCGTGGCAGTGTACACAACACGAACGAAGACGATAGGTCCGAATATGAAAGCTTGAGCGCGTGCGAGTCGGATCGCGAGCGAGTCTGAGTATGAATGAATCTGCGCGCGATTGATTCTATTCGCATGAATGCGTGCATGGATACGCCCAGTGTAAATGTATGTATACGACTGTGAACAGTTTGGGTCTGCGTGACTCTCGGTACTCGTGACTCTGAGCGTCGCCTCTGCAGGGGGCTTCCCTGGGAACCCCGACGGCAGCGCCCGCGCGCCGCGACGCCCATGTCGGCACGCCACACACCTGTTGTGCGGGACGCATGCGGACGGCAGCACTGGGGCCTTCGGTGGAGCTCCCTGTGGGGCCACGAAACGTGTGAGGGGTGTGCCTAAATGGGTGTGCGGGACGCATGCGGACGGCAGCAATGGGGCCTTCGGTGGAGCTCCCTATGGGGCCACGAAACGTGTGAGGGGTGTGCCGAAATGGGTGTGCGGGACGCATGCGGACGGCAGCACTGGGACCTTCGGTGGAGCTCCCTGTGGGGCCACGAAACGTGTGAGGGGTGTGCCAATGCACCATCGGGACGCAATGGCGGACGCCGCGTCATGGGTCCTTCGGTGGAGCTCCGTATGGGGCCACGAAACGTGTGGGGGTGTGCCGAAATTCGTGTGCGGGACGCATGCGGGCACACCCACTGGGACCTTCGGTGGAGCTCCCTATGGGGCCACGAAACGTGTGAGGGGTGTGCCGAAATGGGTGTGCGGGACGCATGCGGACGGCAGCCATGGGGCATTCGGTGGAGCTCCCTATGGGGCCACGAAACGTGTGAGGGGTGTGCCGAAATGGGTGTGCGGGACGCATGCGGACGGCAGCCCTGGGGCCTTCGGTGGAGCTCCCTGTGGGGCCACGAAACGTGTGAGGGGTGTGCCGAAATGGGTGTGCGGGACGCATGCGGACGGCCGCCATGGGGCCTTCGGTGGAGCTCCCTATGGGGCCACGAAACGTGTGAGGGGTGTGCCGAAATGGGTGTGCGGGGCGCATGCGGACGGCAGCACTGGGGCCTTCGGTGGAGCTCCCTGTGGGGCCACGAAACGTGTGAGGGGTGTGCCGAAATGGGTGTGCGGGACGCATGCGGACGGCAGCCATGGGGCCTTCGGTGGAGCCCCCTATGGGGCCACGAAGCGTGTGAAAGGTGTGCCGAAATGTGTGTGCGGGGCGCATGCGGACGGCAGCACTGGGGCC